AAGAAAGAGAAATTAAGAAGTCGATCCCATTTACAATTGCACCCAAAACCATAAGATACCTAGGAATAAATCTAACCAAAGAGACAAAGGATCTGTACTCAGAAAACTATAAAATACTCATGAAAGAAATTGAGGAGGACACAAAGAAATGGAAAAATGTTCCATGCTCATGGATTGGAAGAACAAATATTGTGAAGATGTCAATGCTACCTAGAGCAATCTACACATTCAATGCAATCCCCATCAAAATACCATCCACTTTTTTCAAAGAAATGGAACAAATAATCCTAAAATTTGTATGGAACCAGAAAAGACCCCGCATAGCCAGAGGAATGTTGAAAAAGAAAAGCAAAGCTGGTGGCATCACAATTCCGGACTTCCAGCTCTATTACAAAGCTGTCATCATCAAGACAGTATGGTACTGGCACAAAAACAGACACATAGATCAATGGAACAGAAGAGAGAGCCCAGAAATGGACCGTCAAGTCTATGGTCAACTCATCTTTGACAAAGCAGGAACGAATGTCCAATGGAAAAAACAGTCTCTTCAACAAATCGTGTTGGTAAAATTGGACAGCCACATGCAAAAGAATGAAACTGGACCATTTCCTTACACCACACACAAAAATAGACTCCAAATGGTTGAAGGACCTAAATGTGAGACAGGAGTCCATCAAAATCCTAAAGGAGGACACACGCAGCAAGCTCTTCGACCTCAGCCACAGCAACTTCTTCCTAGAAACATTGACAAAGGCAAAGGAATCAAGGGCAAAAATGAACTATTGGGACTTCATCAAGATAAAAAGCTTTTGCACAGCAAAAGAAACAGTCAACAAAACCAAAAGACAACTGACAGAATGGGAGAAGATACTTGCAAATGACATATCAGTTAAAGGGCTAGTATCCAAAATCCATAAAGAAGTATTCAAACTCAACACCCAAAGAAGAAAGAATCCAATCAAGAAATGGGCAGAAGACAGGAACAGACATTTTTCCAAAGAAGACAGCCAAATGGCCAACAGACACATGAAAAAGTGCTTAACATCGCTCGGCATCAGGGAAATCCAAATCCAAACCTCAATGAGATACCACCTCACACCAGTCAGAATGGCTAAAATTAACAAGTCAGGAAACGACAGATATAGGCGGGGATGTGGAGAAAGGGTAACCCTCCTATACTGTTGGTGGGAATGCAAGCTGGTGCAGCCACTCTGGAAAACAGTATGGAGGTTCCTCAAAAAGTTGACAATAGAGCTAGCATATGATCCAGCAATTGCACTACTGGGTATTTACCCCAAAGATACAAAAGTAGGGATCCAAAAGGTTACGTGCACCCCGATGTTCATATCAGCAATGTCCACATTCGCCAAACTGTGGAAAGAGCCAAGATGTCCATCGACAGATGAATGGATAAAGAAGAGGTGGTATATATATACAATGGAATATTATGCAGCCATCAAAAGGAATGAGATCTTGCCATTTGCAACGACGTGGATGTAACTGGAGGGTATTATGCTGAGTGAAATAAGTGAATCAGAGAAAGACATGTATCATATGACCTCACTGATATGAGGAATTCTTAATCTCAGGAAACAAACTGAGTGTTGCTGGAGTGGGGTGTGGGGTGGGAGGGATGGGGTGACTGGGTGATAGACACTGGGGAGGGTATGTGCTCTGGTAAGCGCTGTGAATTGTGCAAGACTGTTGAATCTCAGATCTGTACCTCTGAAACAAATAATGCAATATATGTTAAGAAAAAAAAAAAGATAGTAGGAGGGGAAGAATGAAGGGGGGAAATCGGAGGGGGAGAGAAACCATGAGAGGTGATGGACTCTGAAAAACAAACTGAGTGTTCTAGGGGGAAGGGGGTGGGAGCATGGGTTATCCTGGTGATGGGTATTAAAGAGGGGACGTTCTGCATGGATCACTGGGTGTTATGCACAAACAATCAATCATGGAACACTACATCTAAAACTAATGATGTAATGTGTGGTGATTAACATAACAATAAAAAAATGTTTTAAAAATGTGATCAGGCGGGATACTAGGACAATGTCATACACTAGATTTAGGGTATATTTTGGTCTGTTAGAAGAAAGTGTATTGCAAAATTTTAAAGAACGAAAAGCTTTATATATATATATAAAAGGTTAAATACAATGAAGAGAAAATATGACTGTAAAAAATGAAAAATTAAAGGTTTTTAAAAATGAATTGATAAGGGGGCGCCTGGGTGGCTCAGTCGTTAAGTGTCTGCCTTTGGCTCAGGTCATGATCCCAGGACCCTGGGATTGAGCCCCACATCGGGCTCCCTGCTCTGTGGGGAAGCCTGCTTCTCCCTCTCCTACTCCCCCTGCTTGTGTTCCCTCTCTCGCTATGTCTCTCTCTGTCAAATAAATAAATAAAATCTTAAAAAAAAAAAGAATTGATAAGATGTTGGTTGAAAAAGGAAAGAAGAAAAATTCAACTAAAAATTATAGAAAAAGAAGAGAAAATTTAAAAAATTAATTGAAAGACTAAAGAATCATGGGGGAAAAAGCCATGCATTCTATGTGCTGTATTTCCCTAGTGCTGGAGTTCTGCCATTCTCATTGATCAGTAAACTTGGTCTTCGCTGGCTGTTCTTGCTGATCTTCTGGGGGAGGGGACTGCTGCAGTGGTTCTCAAATGTCTTTGCTGTCTCTATCCCTTGCCGGGGGGCCGGACTAAGTAATCTGCTCGGGTTTGCTCTTGGGAGCTTTTGTGCCCTGCAAGCTTTCCATACAGCTTTGGAGGATGAGAGTGAAAATGGTGGCCTCCCAATCTCCACCCTGGAGGAGCTGAGAACTCAAGGCCCCACTCCTCAGTGAGCCCCCAGAGAAAAGCAGTCAATCACTCCGATCTCCCCAGTCTCCGGATGCACTCCGTGCTCACCTGGCCTGTGACCGAGCATTTATATCTCTGGCACCCGACCCCGTGTGGAGTCTCCAAACCCAGCAGATCCGTGAGGTGCGCTCCCGCGCCACTCCTCCCCAGAGAGGAAGGGGAGTCTCCCCGGATCTGTCGCTTATTGGGTCCCTGCTGGAAGAGCAGTGGCCAGGCTGTGCCAGATCATGTTTATGGCAATCCTGAGCTGAGAGCCCACTCCTCGGCTCCGTTTCTGCAGCTGGTTTCCCTGCTCTGATACCTGGGAGCTCTGCCACACTCAGGCAACCCCGGTCTTTCTGTGACCCCGAGGGTCCTGAGAGCACACTGTCCCAGCGAGGGTTCCACTCCCCGCTTAGCCACTGGAGTGCTGTCCCTTAGTGGAGCAGATTCCGATTTTGTGCTCCGTGCTCTTATCACTTGCTGGTAGCCAGCTGATGAAGGCTCCCTCACCCCCGCCATCTATCTTCCAGAATATCGCCTTGGATTCACTTCTCTGCATGTTCTACCTTCCAGAAAGTGGTCGCTTTTCTGTTCAGAGAGTTGCTATTCTTTTCTTTGATCTCCTGTTGAGTTTGTAGGTGTTCTGAATGGTTTGATACCTATCTAGCTGAATTCCTGGGGCCAGAGGAAATTTACGTCTCCTACTCCTCTGCCATCTTGCTTCTCCCCTACCAAAATCTTAAAAAAAAGAAATAGGCTTCAGAGGCCCTTGGGCACCCCCTCCCCCTAATTCCATGGGAACCTAGGTGATTGTTCCTTGCATGTCAGTGACACCCAGTAGGTCTGCTCCCAACAGAGGCAGGGCTGGCCACTCACACAAGGGGCTGGCCACCTAGAGGACTGCATCACCTAAGTAAGGTCCTGATGTTTAACACTTGGAAAGATTTCCTTGTATGTCATCAACTCAGATGCCTCTGGTGCCACAAAAGCAGTTTGAGTTCGGCAGGTGTGACAGTAACTGGGCTGTAAGGAGTGGCAGGGGACAGTCATGCTGCAGAGCATGTTCCTGGAGTGGAGAGAGTGGGGCCTGCTCAGCTCCATCCAGTTGCTGCCTGTCAAGATTGGAGGTCTGGAGTTGCCCCAGCTGACTTGTTAAGAGAAGCTGGCAATTATTTTGAGCTACTTTTTAAAAGGTTTTTCCTTTTTTTTTTAAATCGTGTATAATACCCAGTGCTACGCAACTATTGAATCATTGAACACTACATCAAAAACTCATGATGTGCTATATGGTGGCTGACTGAACATACATATATACATACATACATACATAAAAAATCATGTGGGTCTAGCAAAATAGATCTGCAGCTGTCCTCTGCCCACAGACCATTCTTTGTATCCAGGGTAGTTGGTTTCTCCCTCTGGACATCACTGGGGCACATCTGGCCCAGTGAGGGATTAATCCCCAGGGGGCTGAGGAAATTGAATGGGGGCAGCCCGCCCACCCTCTAAAGGAGAGGGCCATGAGTAGGCCCTGTTCTCTGCCAGCCCCAGATCCTGGCCCTGCAGAGGGAGCTTGGCATGACCTTTGTCTTCTGGGCCCTGGGGTCCTGGCAGGGCTGCGCACAGTCCACTCCATGTGGAAGCTGGGGCCTCAGCAGGCCTGTTGCAAATGATAGCTCCTCTTCTCTTGCTGCTGTCCCCAATTTCTCTTCTGTCTCCTTCCCACCTTAGGGGAAAAAACACTTTCATTTTCTCAGATGTTCCATTCTGGAATCTGATTCCTGTCACATCCTACGACTTTTAATGGCTTATCAAAATACCTTTCCATAGACCTTTCTGTCACTGTCTTCCCTCCCTCTCTCCCTATTCCCTACCCCCTCCCTCTATGCAACAAATATGTATTAAAAACCTACTTTGCCAGTCACACTTCCTTCACCATAGAGATAGCTGTCAAGGTGATACCTCACTCACAAGGTCCAGTTTACCCTTGCTTGGGGCTGAACAAGATCTGTGGTAAAGTGGGAGGGAAGGAAGAAAGATCCAGTGCTGAATCAGTCAAGGAAGTCTTCCTAGAGGACATAGACTTAAAGTAAGAGATAGAACTTAGAGACTGGCATAAAAAAGGGGAAACCACATTCTTTTTCTCCTCCCAGGTGTTGGTGGCAATCTGGTGGCCATTCAGACCAGCCGGATCTCCACCTACCTGCACATGTGGAGCACGCCTGGTGTTCTCCCCCTCTGGATGAAACAGTTCTGGCCTAACCCATGCTCCACTTTTTGCACCTCAGGTGGGTCTGGTGTCTTCCAGAGGCCATGTGGCCATTTCTTTACACAAGTAAAAATTGCCATCATTGGAATCTGCTCTGTAGCAACAGATGTCTAAGACCAGTGCTGACCTCAGCCCAGATCATCTTCAAGGACACAGCTCCTCCTCCCAGAGACCTGACTCCCCACCTCTACCTCTGGTTGATTCATCCATTCATTCAGATATTTAATTCTGCTAGGTACTAGGTGTCAGGTTGCAGTGATGAGTCAGAGAAAGCTGATTCTTGCCCACATGGATTTACATGATCCAGAAGAGCAGATAAACACACCAAAAAAGGAGCATTTAACTACAAATTGTGGCATGTTTTAAAATAAAAAACTACAGGGTCCAGTGGAAGGAATTTCAGGAGATATTGAGATATGGGTTTGGCAAGTTCCTCTCTGAGGATGATGGGGGGAGCAGGGGAGGGTGTGGGGGGAGGAGGCATGCTGGAGCAAGAGGGGCATTTGAGGCAGGGGGGACAGCCTGAGCAAAGGCTCAGAAGCAGGAAGGAGCTTGGTAAGTCTGAAGAACTGAAAGGCCAGGGAGGCCTGAGCATAATGAGCAAGGGAGAGGATGGAGAAAGCTGAGATCAGGGAGGGAGGGGTTGGTCATTATAGGGCCTTGAAGCTTGAGGAAGGGAGACTGGATTCTATTCTGAGAACCACTGGAAACCTTTTGAGGTCTTTTCTTTTTGTTACTTTTAAAACTTGGATCTTTTCTCCCACTGCATTTTCTTTTAATCATTTCCTTTCTGTTTCAAGAACTACCTTTAGCCATTCTTTTAGGGTAGATTTGCTGGCACATTCCTGAAGGATATTTTTGCCAGATATAAAATTCAGGATTGATGGTTCTTTTCAGCACTTGAAAAATGTGCCCCTTTCTTCTGAATCCCCTGGTTTCTGATGAGAAATTACTATCATTTGAATTATTTTTTGTCTTTTGTTTGTTTCAAGACTTTTTCTTTACTTTTTAGTCTTTGAGTTATGATGCACATTGGTGTGGATTTCTTAGGGTTTGCCATGTTTGGCGTTTATTTAGCTCCTTGAGTACATGGATTTATCTTTTGCCAAATTTGGGGAATTTTAAGCCATGATTTCTTTGATACACCTTCAGCCCCACTGTCTTCTTCCTTTCCTTCCTGTATTCTGATGACATGAATGGTGGATCTTTTGTTACAGTTCCACAAGCCCTGGAGTCTCTGTTCAATTTTTCCCCCAGCCTATTTTACTCTCTCTTATTCAGATTGGCTAATTTCCATAGTTTTTTTTTCAAGTTCATGGATTCTTTCCTCTGCCCTCTTCACTCAGCCAGTCATCCCTTGCATTGAGTTGTTTGGGGTTTTTTGGCTATTGTATTTTTTCAGTTCTAAAATTTCCACATGGGTCTTCTTTGTATCTTCTGTTTCTTTTCTGAGACTTTCTGATTTTTTTTTTACCAAAACTTTCAGATAATTCTGCCATCTGTGTCATATCAAGTTGAAATTTTTTTTTCTTTTATAAGAAGTGATTTCAGATTGAATCCCAGGCATTCGGGGTATATGTTATGAAACTCTGGATCTCATTTCAGTCTTTTTCAGCTACCTTTTCTGACACTGCACTACTGAAGGAAAGGGAATGCATTGCTTCCTTACTGCCAGATGGGGGTAGAAGCCCAGGTTTCCCCCCACCCCTACCATCCCCACCGTCTCTGTTAATACACTGGGGGAAGAGGAGCACTCCATTGCTGGTGGGCTGGGGAGGAGTCCACGTTCCTCTGACACTATCCTGGCTGAGAGGGAGAGGGAAGCTTTGTTATTGCTGCCCACATGGCCTTCACAGACATGGTTGAGTCGGGAGCTCATTACCACCAGGCAGAGTACCACTTACTCTCCACTCAGCCTTCTCTATCCCACCTCAACCAGAAGGGGTGAGTGGCACGTTCCACCTAGATTTGGTCAGAAGTCCAGGCTCCCCTCTTGGCCTTTGCTAATGGAAGTGGGGCTGTAGTTTTTCCTGTGATGTTTGGCTGGAATAGAGAAGTTGCCTAAAAGTTCTGTGTTTTGCTAGGCTGTCCCTCTTTTGGACTTTTGGCTAGACAGAGCGGGCTTTTGTTGAGTCTTTTTTTTTTTTTTTTTTTTTTGGTCTCTGCCCATTGATGTTTCTGAGTTGCTGACTTCTCTAGCATCTGCTCTGGGATATATGAGGCAAAACTCCCCCAAAACACCAAAACAACAACTCAGGGAATTCACTTCTGTGTTGTTTGTTGGGTTCCCAGGTCCCTGGCCAGCCCACCCTTTCTCTGCACCTTTTCAAATCTTCTTATGTTTGTTTTATATATAATGTCCAGGGTTTTTAGTTGTATTTAATGAGAGGAATAGGAAGAACTATGTCTAGCCATCTTGTCTTGAAGTGGAAATTACCATTGAATTTTCTGATTTGTCATTTATATATAGAAAATCTGTTTCTATTCCTCCATTATTTCTGTATCTGTCTTAGTTCAGCTGCTATAATGGAAGTATAGAATGGGTGGCTCATAAATACAAGAAGCTTATTTTTTATAGTTTTGGTTTGTGGAAGTTCAAGGTCAAGGCACTAGCAAATTTTGTCTGGTGATGGCCTGCTTACTAGTTTGTAGACAGCTGTCTTCTCACTGTGTCCTCACATGGTGGAAGGAGTGAAGTGTCTGAGGTGTCTTTTATAAGGTTATAAGCACTAATGACATTCATGAGTGCTGTACCCTTATGACCTAATCATCTCCAAATACCATCACATTGAGGGTTAGATTTACAACATATGGATCTGGGTGATGGAGGACACCCAGATGCTATAGCAGCATCTAAATATTTTACTGAATTCTTATTTATGTAATGTTTCTATAGATTTTCTTGAGTTTTAGGGCCAGCTGCCAATAGCAATTATTTATTTTGCTTCTACTTTTTTTTCCAAAGAATCTTTTCATACCTTGTCTAATTTTTCATCATGAATAGATTTTGGAGCTCTTGAGTGTTCTCAGCCTCTCTCTACATATTTTATGGTAGTGTTTTTAGCTTCTAAGCTGTATGATTGTTCCTCCTCTTTCTTGTTAGCTTGATGAAATATATTAACTCAGAGGTAAATGGAGACTTTTTATTGAAACTCTATTTCCATTGAGAAGTCAGTTGCATTCATATATTACAATTTTTAAAAGTGTGTGTGGTTGGAGCAGGGAAGTCACACTTCTTGCAGAATCTCAAATTCTTAGAGTACTGAAGCCAAAAGAGAATGTGCTGAATGAGTCCCAGAGGCTTAGCATGAGGAAGGGGCTGCCTGAGGCCTCCCATGAATGTGCCACCCTTCCCTGGATTACTAATTCCACATGCTGAGCCTTCGTTTGTCCACATTCCAGAGCTCTCTCCCACCTTAAGCCCTTTGCATGTTCCCTTTCCTCTGCCCAGAGTTCTCTCCTTGAGATTCATATCTCAGCCTAGATGTCATCTTCTCTCAAGGGCTTCTAGTCTCCAGTATTCATCCTACTAATATACACTTTGTTCTCTACCACATTATCCTGGTTTATTTTCATCCTCACACTGGTCAGTTTGAAATGACTTTTGTTTCTGCTACTCGATTCTGTTTGTTTGGTTTTTTTTCTCTCTCTCTCTCTCTTCCCTAAAATGTCAATTCCATGAGGGAAGGGACAGGAGTATATCCCCATATGAGAGAATGTGCCTGCCACATAATAGATGCTCAGTAAACACTCGTGTAATAGATAAATGAATGTGGGTGCCTCACTGGAGACTGTCACATGCCAAGGTGGCTTCTGCTGCCCAGCAGGTTACACAATCTCCTTGGTTTTGTTTTTTTCAGAAATTAATTCCATATCAGCCCGAGTCCTGCTCTTTCTGGTGGTTCCGGGCCATCTGATTTTCTTCTACATCATCTACTTGGTGGAAGGCCATTTGGTCCCAGACAGTAAGATCTTTGTGGTGTTCTATCTGCTAGCAAGCCTGATCCAGGTGAGGATGACTATAGCAGTATCAGAGCAGCATTCAGTGGTTGGTCAGCCAGCACGATTTGTCTTGGTTGGCAGGGGGGGCAGTTCCAGGACCCCCATCTTCCAAGAGCCAACTTGTTCAAGCCCAAGGGCATGATCCAGACAGAGAAGCCACTCCACACTCTGTATTGCACACTTCACACTGAACATTCCACACAGCACATGCTACACTGCACATTTCATAGGGTACACCCCCCACAAGGCACACTCCATACTACATATAGCACACTGCACACTCCTCAGCAGAGGATCAAAGGTTCATCCTGAAGTTGCAGCAAGTTGCCGTGAAGCAAGTTGATGAGTGTGTCCAACTGATGATCTGTGCCATGCACACCAACCATCACAGATAGGGTGGGCAGAGACCAGCCCCCTGCTGGAGTGTTGCTGAAAGGCATGTAGGGACTTAAGTCAGGACTGGATGGTGATAAGGACATGATGAAAGAGATTAAGCTGGTGCCTGCCTCTGGGTAGTACTCAGCAGACTGTCTGCCCAGACTAGCTGACTGATGCCCCTCGTGGGCCCAGGTTGTCTGCAGAGATAACTGGACACTGATGGGCAATTCTAGGAGGGCAGTGCTAGAACTGGGGACTGACATGTTCAAATCTCCCTGAGTTAGGGCATTTACAATTGCAGCATGTCCCTGACCCTGAACAGAGCTGGGGCACTCTGACAAACTGTCTTGAGCAGGAGCAGGGAAGGGGCTGGAGTCAGCCTGGGACAGGGGACCGAGGAGCCCTGGAATGAAGCCAGGACTGTGCTCACTACTGGCACTTTCAGGAAAGGCTTAATGTCCAAAGCTGCCCATACAAGGGCTTCCAGCAAACTCAAATTGAAGTCCCAATAAGGTCTATGTCTTGAGTTTTCAAGGATAGTGAGAGGAGTTGGTGTAGCAGAGATGGTCTGTCTGACACCTCAGTTTGCCACAAGTAGGACCTGACCACAGGGAGGGAAGCTAGGCAACTATGGATAAGGGTGGACTTCCTGCCTCTGCATGAGTTCATAGCTGGGCACTGGCCCCAAGAAAAGCTAGAGGAAGGGGACTCCTTGGAGTGGACATGTCCACCTTGGTATCTGCCTTTGAAATTTGCTGTTTCTTAGTGACACTTAACTATCTGACTTAGTTGTTATTTTTTGTGTCTGCTTGCTCTTTTGCCAGGTGACGATTCTCCTGTACCTGGCAGAAGTGATGGTTCGGCTGACATGGCACCAGGCCCTGGATCCAGACAACCACTGTATCCCCTATCTCACAGGGTTGGGGGACCTCCTAGGGACTGGCCTTCTGACACTCTGCTTTCTTATCAACTGGTTATTGAGGAGTGAAACAGGGCTGGATGGCTTCTCAGAACCAGCATCTGGACCTCCCTAATGAGCCCAGGCAGCCCCAGTTGCTCAGTAGAATTTTCCTTCACACCAGCAGGGTACAGAATACAGTTTCTCCCTGCCTGGGTCCTCAGGAAAGATGGTTGACACCCTGCCTCTGCAGTGGCCCTTTGTCAGTCTGCTAAGGACACTAACACACATCTTGACTCTGGAGTTGGAACCTGAGCCTATGAGGGTGAGGGAGGCCTGAAATCAGAAGCATTGTTTGTGTGTGAATGTGACTGCATGTTCCCGGACATAAGTGCACACCCATGTGCTTGGTGAGTGCAAATGAGTGTGCATGTATGTGTGGAGAGCAGGGGACTCTGGCCTGAAGACGCTGAAGGAAGAGACATGTCCGGTGCACTTGGGAGATATGCTGGCACTGTTCTGTGCCCATGCAGCCTGGATTGGGGAGGAGCAGGAATGAGACGCCTTCTGTGCCCAAGCCTCAGGACTGAGCTGTGGCTTAAGCACAGTCTTCACCAGCTCTGAGCTTCGTTGGCCATTTTGCCAGTGTGCCTGCAAATGTGCAGCCCTTCCCAAAACAGCCCTTCCTTGCACACCCTTCATCTGCTCCCAGTATTTAATCCTGTTAATGTTTTTTCTCTTTTTCTTCCTTTTATGTTTAAGCAAAACTTCTGTTTAGATTTTAATGATCAGAGAAGTATAAAATAAAACATAGATTATATTATACTTGGCCTTTGTGTCCTTAAAGATAGTTAATGCCACCATGAGACTTGGGGTCTATAAGTAACAAAAACCTCTGGTGTTTCTCTAGTGTCTGTTTCTCAAACTGTGGTCTCTAGCATAGAAGCATCAACATCACAGAGAAACTTGTTAGAAATGCAAGTTGTTTACCCTCCCTCCCCTAGGCCTGCCAAATCAGCCTATCTTGGGGTAGAGCTCAGCAATGTAGGTTTAATAAGCCCTCCATGTTGTTCTGATACACTCTCACATTTGAGAACCACTACTCCAGAATGCCCTCACTTTTTTAAAATATATGTTTACTTCCTGATTCTTTTTTTTAATTAATTTAATTAATTTATTTAAAGAGCACACACGAGTGGGGAGAGGGCAGAGGGAGAGAGAGAATCTCAAGTAGATTCCACGCTGAGCATGGAGCCCAACACAGGGCACAATCCCATGACCCCAAGATCATGACTGGAGCCGAAATCAAGAGTCAGGTGCTCAACTGACTGAATCACCCAGGCACCTGCTACTTCTTGTTTCTTTTTTAACTCATCCTAACAACTTTAGCCATGGTTTGGACTGAGGATTATTATCTTCACCTGGTAAAACAGGTATTTACTTATTAATTTAGCACATATGGACATAGACCATCTTGTATCAGTGCCCCAGAAGGAAAGAGGTGGCATCCTAACTGGTGTAATTGGGCAGGGCTTGAAGAAGGGACAGTTTACAGATACATGGGGAACAATGATGAAGCACCCTATGCCTGGGCACAGTTAAGGGGCTGTTACCACCAGAAACTCCCCTGAACTGGGGAGTGAATAGGAGTAGGATTATCTGAGGTTGGGTGGAGGGGCATCTCTATTTAAAAAAAACAAAAAACAAAAAACAAAACAAAAAACAGCTACCATCAGCTGTGGCCTGGCAGAAAGAGATCCATGGGAATAAATACCCCAACCCTATTCTCTGCTTACCCTTTAAACTGCTAGTGTCTCCCACACTTATGGATGGTTCCATAAATATATAGAGGTCTCAGCCTCCTGAGGCTCAGAGCCAGTTGAGGGTGGAGAGTGGTTCTGGAAAGGCAAGTGGAGAATATCCAGCACACCTAGGTACCAAGTCCTAGGCTAAGTACTGGGGATGCACTTGTGGGCAAAACATTCATCATCTCTCTCTCAAGGGTCTAGAGGAGAGATGGTCAATAATAAACATCATAGGTTTGTGATAACATGGATGGACCTAGAGGGTATTATGCTAAGTGAAATAAGCAGACAAAGATAAATACCATGTGGTTTCACTCATATGTGAAATCTAAAAAAACTAAACAAATGAATAAACAAAAAGCAGAATCAGACCTATAAATACACTGATGGTTGCCAGAAGGAAGTAGGGTGTGGGGATGGGCAAAATAGGTGAAGTGGAGTGGGAGATACAGTCTTCCAATTATGGAATGAGTCACAGGGATAAAAGGCACAGCATAGAGAATATAGTCAATGATATTATGATAGTGTTGTATGGGGACAGAGAGCAGCTATATTGGTGAGCAGAGCATAATGGGAAGAGATGTTGAATCCCTACGATGTATGCCTGAAACTAATAGTGTGTCAACTATACTCAAATAAAAAAATTGCTTAAATAACACTATACCAACAAGTGTTAAAATTCTAGCTGTCATAAGTCTTGCAAAAGAGAAGAATATGGTGCTGTAGAAGTATGTAACGAGAGCTAAGACTTATTGAGCACTTACTGTGACATGTTCTGAGCATTTTACATGTGTAAACTCAGTGTAATAGCCTCACAGCAACCTGATGTTATAGGTATGATAGATCATCCCCATTTATAGATGAGGAGACAGCCATTTTGAGGTCTCTTCACTTTCCCAAGGTTCTTTGGTGAGTGGTGGTAATCTGGCTGAGACCCAAGCTATGCAAGTGGTAAAGGGATTTGACCAAGACAGGAGCTCAGGAAAGATTTTTCTTCAGGAAGTGCCATGTAAGCTGAGATCCAAGAATAAGTAGGAGTATGAGCAACTATCTGCGAGCAAATTAGATAACCTGGAAGAAATGGATGCATTCCTAGAAATGTATCAACTACCAAAACTGAACCAGGAAGAAATAGAAAACCTGAACAGACCTATAACCACTAAGGAAATTGAAGCAGTCATCAAAAATCTCCCAAGAAACAAAAGCCCAGGGCCAAATGGCTTCCCAGGGAAATTCTACCAAACATTTCAAGAAGACTTAATACCTATTCTTCTGAAACTGTTCCAAAAAATAGAAATGGAAGGAAATCTTCCAAACTCGTTTTATGAGGCCAGCATTACCTTGATCCCCAAACCAAAGACCCCATCAAAAAGGAGAACTACAGACCAATATCCCTGATGAACACGGATGCAAAAATTCTCACCAAAATACTAGCCAGTAGGATCCAACAGTACATTAAAAGGATTATTCACCACGACCAAGTGGGATTTATTCCTGGGCTGCAAGGTTGGTTCAACATCCGCAAATCAATCAATGAGATACAATACATTAATAAAAGAAAGAACAAGAACCATATGATCCTCTCAATAGATGCAGAAAAAGCATTTGACAAAGTACAGCATCCTTTCTTGATCAAAACTCTTCAGAGTATAGGCATAGAGGGTACATACCTCAGTATCATAAAAGCCATCTATGAAAAACCCAGAGCAAATATCATTCTCAATGGGGAAAAACTGAGCGCTTTTCCCCTAAGGTCAGGAACACAGCAGGGATGTCCACTATCACCACTGCTATTCAACATAGTATTAGAAGTCCTAGCCACGGCAATCAGACAACAAAAAGAAATCAAAGGCATCCAAATGGGCAAGAAGAAGTCAAACTCTCACTCTTTGCAGATGATATGATACTTTATGTGGAAAACCCCAAAGACTCCACCCCAAAACTGCTAGAACGCATACAGGATTTCAGTAAAGTGGCAGAATGTAAAATCAATGCACAGAAATCAGTGGCATTCCTATACACCAACAACAAGACAGAAGAAAGAGAAATTAAGAAGTTGATCCCATTTACAACTGCACCCAAAACCATACGATACCTAAGTATAAATCTAACCAAAGAGGCAAAGAATCTGTACTCAGAACACTATAGAATACTCATGAAAGAAATTGAGGAAGACACAAAAAAATGGAAAAACGTTCCATGCTCATGGATTGGAAGAACAAATAGCGTGAAGATGTTAAGGCTACCTAGAGCAATCTACACATTCAATGCCATCCCTATTAAAATACCAACCACTTTTTTCAAAGAAATGGAACAAATAATCCTAAAATTTGTATGGAACAGAAAAGACCCCGAATAGCCAGAGGAATGTTGAAAAAGAAAAGCAAAGCTGGTGGCATCACAATTCCGGACTTCCAGCTCTATTACAAAGCTGTCATCATCAAGACAGTATGGTACTGGCACAAAAACAGACACATAGATCAATGGAACAGAATAGAGAGCCCAGAAATGGACCCTCAACTCTATGGTCAACTAATCTTTGACAAAGCAGGAACGAATGTCCAATGGAAAAAAGACAGTCTCTTCAACAAACGGGGTTGGGAAAACTGGATAGCCACATGCAAAAGAATGAAACTGGACCATTTCCTTACACCACACACAAAAATAGACTCCAAATGGTTGAAAGACCTCAATGTGAGACAGGAGTCCATCAAAATCCTAAAGGAGAACACACGCAGCAACCTCTTCGACCTCAGCCACAGCAACTTCTTCCTAGAAACATCGACAAAGGCAAGGGAATCAAGGGCAAAAATGAACTATTGGGACTTCATCAAGGTAAAAAGCTTTTGCACAGCAAAAGAAACAGTCAACAAAACCAAAAGACAACCGACAGAATGGGAGAAGATATTTGCAAATGACATATCAGATAGAGGGCTAGTATCCAAAATCTATAAAGAAGTTATCAAACTCAACACCCAAAGAACAAAGAATCCAATCAAGAAATGGGTAGAAAACATGAACAGACATTTTTCCAAAGAAGACATCCAAATGGCCAACAGACACATGAAAAAGTGCTTAACATCGCTCAGCATCAGGGAAATCCAAATCCAAACCTCAATGAGATACCACCTCACACCAGTCAGAATGGCTAAAATTAACAAGTCAGGAAACGACAGATATAGGCGGGGATGTGGAGAAAGGGTAACCCTCCTATACTGTTGGTGGGAATGCAAGCTGGTGCAGCCACTCTGGAAAACAGTATGGAGGTTCCTCAAAAAGTTGAAAATAGAGCTACCATATGATCCAGGAATTGCACTACTGGGTATTTACCCCAAAGATACAAAAGTAGGGATCAGAAAGGGTACATGAACCTCGATGTTTATAGCAGCAATGTCCACAATAGCCAAACTATGGAAAGAGCCAAGATGTCCATCGACAGATGAATGGATAAAGAAGAGGTGGTATATATATACAATGGAATATTATGCAGCCATCAAAAGGAATGAGATCTTGCCATTTGCTACAACGTGGATGTAACTGGAGGGTATTATGCTGAGTGAAATAAGTGAATCAGAGAAAGACATGTATCATATGACCTCACTGATATGAGGAATTCTTAATCTCAGGAAACAAACTGAGGGTTGCTAGAGTGGGCGGTGGGGTGGGAGGGATGGGCTGACTGGGTATAGACACTGGGGAGGTTATGTGCTCTGGTAAGTGCTGTGAATTGTGCAAGACTGTTGAATCTCAGATCTGTACCTATGAAACAAATAATGCAATATATGTTAAGGGAAAAAAAAAGAAGATAGCAGGAGGGGAAGAATGAAGGGGGGGGGAAATCGGAGGGGTAGATGAACTATGAGAAACGGTGGACTCTGAAAAAGAAACTGAGGGTTCTGGGAGGGAGAGGATGGGTTAGCCTGGTGATGCGTATTAAAGAGGGCACATTCTGCATGGAGCACTGGGTGTTATGCACAAACAATGAATCATGGAACACTACATCTAAAACTAATGCTGTAA